ACTAGCAAAGGATGTTGAATCGGTACTGGAGTTAAATTGACTCGGCGCAAAAAAAGCAGGGGTTGTTTGTACCGATATATATATATATATATATATATATTTTAGAGATGTGAGGCAACGGTGAAGAGGTTGAGAAATCATGAGATAAGAGTAATCCACGTAAAGCGGAAGGACAAAGGGACTGGTTGGGGAAAACTTGGAGGGGGCAGTCTGACGATCAATGCATGAGACTAAAGGGGTTGATATCGTCGTTCAACAGGGCTCTGCTCGAATAGTGGTTCGTAACTGCTAGCGAGGAGGCTTCTGAGCAATGAACCAGTGGCAGAGCTTGACTGATGTGGTTGGTTTTGTATTTTCCTCATCGAGCACTCCATTCCGGTACTTTCTGCGGTAACATTGTTGACATATGGGTGTAAAACATCGTTCTCGTGTTCAAATCAATCACCAGATATCATGAATTTGTTTGATATCCGAAACATTCAAACTCAGAAAACTAAATACCCCAACCAGCCACGACCGCCGCGGAATGACAAGACGTATCGGAGATAGAGTGGAAATCCCCCACGGAGAGAAATAACAACCTTAGCATATTTGGCCCGTCCCTCGAGTTGAACTCCAGAGATGACCCCGTTTAGCCATGTGGATTGCACCCTCACCTGCTTCCTCTCCTACATATCCGTGTCTTAATGCAGGACAAGCAGAACCGGGGAGCCCTAGGGTGGAGTTAAAAATTTTAGAAGGTTAGCAAGCTTCCTACTTAGATGTCGTGGGGTCAATGCACTGCAAGTTGCTTGAGAAGGAGAGAGGACCAAAATAGCATGTTCCTTAACGTCATGTTCCTGTCGCCCCCATTTGAGCCATGAAGGTAAGTTAATAAGAGCCTTTAATAAGAGATTTCCTTCACGGCTCGCGAGTTTCAGTTTGCCAACAGAGCAGACCCAGAGCAACGAACAAACTCTCTTCCAGTTCTTGAAAGTTCAGCGTATCACACCAATGGATCCAACCGCGGGCGTCACGGGGAGTTGAGGTGACCGCCTTTTCGACCAGCCACCTGCTCTCCTGACAAACAAATGGAACCACGAGAGCGATCTGACCGAGGAGATTTTTCCAGCCTTGCCAGTAACAAATGTCCAATGACTTTTTTTTATATTTTCTGTTTGTTTCTGGTTTTGAAAAGATTTTTTATTTTCTTTTTTAGATTTTCAAGAATCATCTGATTGTCACGTCCAACATACGTTCACCGATTGATTGCCAATCGAGATAAATAACAAATGAGCCCTACAAGGCACGGAGGTATAATAAACGTAGAGTTATTGTCATCCAGAAAGAATTTTTTCCTTTCCCAAAGGTAACGCTATTTGGAAAATTATTTAACAAAGTTCTGATATGCCATCATCCTCCCCAAACTAAAGAAAATAGAAGAGAGAGCCATTGCCGCTTATTAGCAGCTTCAACTTACTTGGTGCTGGCGGTCCGTCTAACTTGAAACTCTCTGATATCACTATCAAGCTTTTAAGGGTCGAGGAACACCGAAGCAAGCTGAGGACAATGAAGGACTGTTTGTCCAAAGGATCATTTGAATTTCTCTATCCTCTGGCCTTATCAGCAGCGGCAGCTTGAAGCTCCTAAACCAACAAGAATCCAGAATCAACTCAAGAGACTTGGATACCTTGCATTCCCCATGACTGGGGTTAAGGATATCGCCGATAATTGCACCATACAACAAGGAGCCATGGACATTGTGGGGCGATTGAGAGGAAGTATCAAGTTCAGTTCTTCCACTCTTCTTATCAGCATTTGGGGGGGGTTGCTTTGCGTTGGAGCATTTTTATTAAAGATGAGATACCTGGTACTTACTCCTGCTCTTACGTGCAAACACCTTTACATACTGTTACGGAGATATTCATGACACCAATACAGTATGAATTGTACAGTACGATACCTATCATGCGTTACAGAACGAATACAATTACTTACCGATTTTTTACCTCATGCCAGGAACGAGCTATAAAATATAAGCACCCGCCCCAACGCATATCAAACGGACGAGGGTACAAATGGCACTGCTATTGCTTGATCGCACGCACGCCGTGCATGATATTACATGTCTTGTAAATCTGGGGTATCCAAACCCAATCTAGCGCAAACCTAAATCTCGAGGCAAAAATGAGAAATGAAAAGAGTAAAGCCAAAGAACGAACGATTCTAAAATTGCGCCCACCAGGTCAACTTACAACTTGAAGGTACTCTTGAACCAAGATAGCATGGACATGCCTTATCAATAACTGTGTTTCGGTGCCTTCTAAACTACCATCTCGCTTTGTTCCTCAACAGCCACATGGCTGACCAGATTGTTGGTCCAAGTAAAACCGGACTAATATGGCAGCCATCCATGGTTTGACGTCAAAAACTCTTTCCACGCTCACAAAGAAGCAAACGGAAGTATTGAAATGGAATATATACCTTGCATGGTTCATATTTGAGTACGTAAACATTGGCAAACGTATGTCAAGGGGAATTAGCAGCTGGTAACTGCAGTGCCAACGGAGCGGTTCCATAGTTCATTCAGTAGAAGCAGGCCCCCGCCTCTAAGTCGCGACAACGACCATATCACCGTTGATTTTTTTTTTTTTAATAGGGCAGCTGTTGCTTAAGAGACCATCTTGATGACATTAAGTTCAATAAGTTGGAGAATCGCACTTCTCTTACAGGGAATGGGATCGTTTTAATGTATTTACTCCCCATTACCACTATATCTGGTTGAGCCCCTTTTCCGTCACGGGATTTGCTGGTACCACATCCTTTACTTATATCCAGCTTTATTATCATTGTCGGGTTCAGTGTGAAGTTTTTGAAAGAGTTTTAATGTGCATCATGGTGTAAGAGCAGGAGGTGTACACATTGTTACCTGCTGTATATGTGAATCAGAATTTGCTGAGCCAGAACCCAACTATCAAAGGGTCATTCTTCAAGAGACTCAAATACCGTGTTTAGTAGATGGACTACTCTGATTCAATCATTTTATTTCTATCTTGACGAAAGATATCTCACAAGAGTCTAAAGCTCGAATTAATTAAACAATGAACCGTTAAAATATCAAGATCTTTATTTGATCTACTCTTGAATGGATCTCTTTGTAACCTCCACCCCATTGCGAACACTTACCCACATCCACACACACACACATTTCAATGAAATCTTCAGCTGAGAGAAAGCTATCAAGGAATAGCGGAAAAAGAAAACGACATCCAAAAAGAAGGGTTTTCATATACAGGGACCTCGTAAATGCGAGACATGCACACAACATAGCTGCAGGAAGCACGAAACAAATGAACTCTTCTTCCCCGCATACTCCCCCATGCAGGAGTTGAACCACATGCCATGTGCCTGTCAGGCGATCCTCTCGGGGGGGGGGGGGGGGGGATGAATATGTACAGACTGTGAGAATACTCGAAAGATCTGCTCGAGAGATCTGCTCGAGTAGTTGCTATTATTGAAAAGTTATATGTTTATTTTGTGAGGAGACATGAGAAGAGCTCTTCTTGGAGGAATAACTGACGTTGTTGTTTGTGTCCAACCAACAGCTCTTTGCCCCGCTTTTATTGCTGTGGATACGGCACATGAACATCATATTGTATTGCATATCAAATATTATCATGTCGTAGTCAATATATGTCAATGAATTAATCGTATTCAATGCAACGAGAGATATCCGGTTATTTTTAGCTGAACGCTAGTTAATGCTCGGCTAACTACCGGTAGGTAGGTAAAGGTGAATCACCAATCCCCGCTTGTGTGCAGCATCGTCAGTGATAAAAATCTCCTTAACTGCAAGGGCAGTTAGGAAGGCTTCGTCATAGGCTTGTACACGACTTGTCAGCTGCAAGAGCAGAATTAACCTTGCATTGCATTCTTCCATGAAGACTTCTGCTTAAGATAGTTTTCAAAAACATGCAGGTATCAGATCATGTATGCACAGCGGAAGTTAAGGCTTCAGCAAATGTCTGCCTCGATCTCCTGCTTTTTAAGTTACATCCATTTCCTGTCCACTTTCTGCAGAAGAGCATTGTAGTCCGAAGTTTGCCACCTAGGGAGCCTCTAACACACGCTTGGTTAATGCTTTAGTGAGACTGAAAGAGGTTTTATTTAAGACGCCCTGTCTATATCGTATTGAGTATCCCGAGGTCATCGGCTGAGGTAATAATAACTCTGTACGGGCAGCCGTAGCCAAATGCGGATACAAGTAATCTCCTGGCAGAAAGTAGACTCTGTTTCAAGCTTAAGAATAGCATACCAGGGGGATATGGATGCGATTACTTTTACATCTCGCCAGAAACGAAAGTAGATAGATATGTGTCTCGATCCTTCACTTCACTTTTTGTTTCTCCATGATAACAACATTTATAATAGGGCGCACGGGTCTGGACGATAATGTGTGGAGTAATCGGAGTGTATTATTCTTAGGTCACTGGCACATGAAAGCGGAGATAGTTCCCTGATCAATAGGGTATAAAATATGCCTTGTATTGCCTTGGCTATAGCATCCTTCACAAGTAATCAATGGTTGTGATGTTTGCCGTAAGCATTTCTTGAAAAACTGGAAAGAAAAGAAGTGCCCCCACCTTTTTTATACTCAACCATATGCTATTATTTGCAACCCCACCGTTGCAACCCTGCCGAGCACCTCTCACTAAGTGCTTTCATGAGCAATAATGAAGATATAGAAACAACGAACTGAGGTTGACGCGCCCTGTGTCTCTCATCAACAGGCCTACCCCCTTCAATGGCTTCTCAAACCCCATAACAGAGAACTGCAGTTCCCTGGTAAAGGTTTTTTTCTTCCAGAGGTTTTAAACGGGCAAAGGAACCCTAAAATGGGGAGAACCACAAAAAATGCAAAGATGATCTGCAACAATGGATACGGTACGTACGGAGCAATTTTACTAGCGTATGTTAGACGGGGTGGTATTGGTGACCGCCATAACGTGAAACGACAACGGTCATTTGAAGATACCCACTTCGTCCAGTATAGCTCCGATTGAAGCCCGGCTTGGACTGAGGTTTAAAGGTCCAACGCGGAATATTGATGGGACATGCGATTTAATACTGGTGTTGCCTCTACACAGTAGATCAGGAATCACGAATACCCTGTTCGTGAAATTGGATGCTTGTGCGGGGCGGAGAAAATGACCCCTGGGGGTTTCCTTGCGCACCAACACGCTGGCAGCCCAGTCCATCCGTCCCACTCTTGACCAGATAAGAATGTACTCCGTATGCACTAGGATTTTCCGTCGCTTTTCAGAGCCTTGTTTGTCAAATGAGTTGGTGGATTTCACGCAGCTGCTCTTCTCATATTGGATGAGCAAATACCGAAGCCCAATATCCGATGTTGGCCGGTTTTGATACCAACCAGGTCAATTACTCGTGTGACGGACATACAGTGTCTCTATTTGCCTCGAATTCTTTATCGAAGGTTTTGTTTGACCTGGCGTTTAGTTCGGGTGGAGTATGCGTGGAAAGGTGATAGTGGGTCAAGGAAGAAATGAATGGAATAAAAGTGGAGGAACACAGATCAAGAGAAGAAAAGAAAAGAAAGCAATGAAATGATGCGAGATTCTGTCCCTGCACGAATACAACATTTTGCCCTCAAAAATCCATGATAATTGGCCAGGGAGAACAGCCTGAACAGCACACCAACAACAGTCCAGGCATCGTCAGAGACTCACCAGATTGAATTACAATAACTATTTGCACAGCAACGAGCGTCGAGCGGTTCGATCAAACAGGGAAGGGAAAGGAAAGGAAAAATCAAAAATTAAAAATTAAAAATTAAAAATTAAAAATTAAAAAAAAAAAAAATGATGGATCAACAGACGTGAAAGCGACGATGACGCTGCCTCCAATTAGTTACGGCAGAAGCAAATCGAGAGCAAAGGCGCGGAACGAGGATGGATGATCTTTGGCTTCGTTGATCGCCAGCGAACAGAATCTTGAATTGGGATAGCGCCGAGGCTGAGCTTGTCAATCGCAGGACGTGGTGCTGATCGACTGGCGGTGGAAGCGACCACGTATGTGACACGCTGACCATCGAGGAAATATCCATGAAATCCTCCCGTCAAGCGTGACTTGTTGGTTATGTTAGTCGAGAACGCTGCCAGGGAGGAGGGATAACTATTCTTAGTTGATATGACGAAAGGCCGATTCAGCGTCCAAACTCTGAGCTACTGACAAGCTGCCTCCTCATGGCTCTAGAAAAAAAAAAATTGGTGTTCACAGTATCTCCACTGGCAGCTTGGTTAATTCCGTTTCGTGCAGCTGGTTTTCATTCGATTCGCCAAAGTCTCTGTATTTGTGGGCTTCGGATTCTACTGTGGTAAGCATTGGCTACCCATCATCTGACGCGAAACGGGTTCAAGGCTCCATTTTTTTTCTTTTCTTTTCTTTTCTTTTCTTTTCTATACAATTCTCAACTCACATATCCACCCCCTGTGAGACCAACCAGATGATTTGGGTTCAACAACTACAACAGCGCTGACCCAAAAATTGAAGGAATGACAGCGACTGCTCATCGCCAGCGTGGATATTACCTATTTCCGATATCGCGCGGGTCAATTATGCTGTGACCATTATAGTCCTCTGGGATGAATCTACGTCGCGCTTTGGAGATCTTATAAATGACTACTTTTGAGATTACCTACCATTCGTTCTCTCGTAGTGGGACTTGATCATCAACTTTTTGTGGGTCTCATCATGCCTAGATAGTTTACCCATCCCCTTACTCAATGCTGTCAAGAAAAATTGACGAAGCGATCCCGGTCGTGGTGGAAGCACTGACATTGAGGCAAGAGATAATATCGAGTGGCAGTTTCGGATGTTATTAACTGTTTAGGGTCAGATCAGTCCCCCCCCCCCCCCGGGGTTCACATAACGAATTGCTGACTCTCACCCGCTGCGGGATTGAGTGGTTTTTATTCGATTTTTGCTAGACCTATCCTTGTCATGCCCCTCAACCATCCTAGTAAAAGATCTTGACGCTCCCCACCACAGCCTACAGCATACCCTACTGCCCTTGCTTCCCGACGTCGCACAGAGTTTAGCCCCCTTTTCAACTGGCCTAAGACTTGAAGAACAAGCGAAATCATAGCATTCATGTGGATGGCCTGCCCCGTTTCAGCTGCATCGACCCGTTAATGCATATGCAAGTATGCAAGACAGCAACAGACCGATCCACGCCACGGATCTTATCTTGGAACTAGCAGCAACACCAAACTATCCCTAGCCTAGTTCTCTGGCCCTGAGCCTGACTGTGGACTCATCTATTCCCTTCAACATCATCTATCTCTCAACGACGATGATGGCATAAAGATAGAAATAATCTCGATATCCCCCCCCCCACCCACCCACCCACCATCTTCCTCCCCGAAGTTTGGCCGTTTTATGGGAGGATTATGGAGATGAACAACATAGAAAGTCCGCGTGCAACACGACTACTTTTAGAAACTGGAATCACATCCAGCGCATTCGTCAGGTAACTCTGCGCTCAGAGTGTGTGCTCACTGGGGTTGGACTGGGTTTTGTGAATCGTGTCTTCCTCGGGACATGGTCCCTTGTTTCGTGCCAAGTGGCTCCACCCATATGTCTCTTCGGAAGAGGCTGGCTGATCGACTCTCGTCAAAGTGTTCATGAACTTCCTCAAGTCGAGAAGTGTCCATTTAGGGCTCTCTGCTTCCACTCTGAATAATGAGGAGTTTCGTGCTCCCCTGGGTTGGCCTACCGGTTGCTCAAAGTGACAGAAGTCATGACGAGTCGTTACAGAAATTTCGGCTTTTGGCAAAGGGTGTCCAAGCTTGTGCAACGCCAGCAGTACTTTGGGAAAGTACAGAGAATATGTGGAGGTACGCATGAGTTGGACAGAAAGATCAGAGGTGCAAGGGCAAGTTGCTTTGCTGTGCAACTTCTTGACCGCCAGGCACAAGTCCCAGCAAACAGGCAAGCCCAAGGAAATGGGCTGAGAAAATATGCTAATGTGGCACATATGTGGTGTCAACGGGAGCTTTCTTTCGACCAACGCCTTTTTTTTTTATTATTTTAGTTCAAGATGCATTTTGTACGCCCCCGTTGGAGGTTGGAAGCGCCGAATAATCAAATCCAGATCCAAGACATCCGAAATTGTTCATCATATTGCCCTATTTTTATTCTTTCCTGTCTCCTGACGTCTTCTACCCCCAAACCCTGGGCAATGCAAGTTGCCGCCCAGGTTGGATTCTTGGACATAGCATGCTCCTAGGTGCTCTAACTATACTATTTTCACCTCGGCTGAGGAAAGAATTTTATGCGATATGAGCCCAACTTGCCATGTATTTGGAGAGTACCCCTTTCCATTCTATACTACTTTCTTGACCTATCCCCCTCGTTGCACTATTCTGATATGGCACCCGCGTAATCCTTTGAGTGGAGATGCATTGAGGAGGCTCCATGGGAATAAAGACGACGATTAGCATTTAATGCTTGCTCTCCGTGCCGTCTTTGGATGAACTTACCTCGCGGGGTATCCTCACTACGTTCATGGTCCGCAGGTGCGGAGTGTCAAATCATCCAATATACGTTTTAGGGTCTATTGTACGCACATACGGCCCGTAGCATTTTGGACACAGGCGCTTTTATTCCGATGTTGAGATCTTCCTCGTGGCGTTGCGTCACGTGCAGGGAACCTCAGAAGCGCATGACGGCATGAGAGGGAGAGGGAGATGCAAGATCTTCTTCTGTATGCATGAAATGCTTTTGTTTTTATTTTATTTTATTTTATTTCATTCTATTTTTATTTATTTTTTTGCGGGTCAGCATTTGATATGATATTGCTTCGACGCTGTTGATAAACATATTTCCCACGTTGCTTTTTCTTGCTTCGAGCATAATCAATGTTCAGAGTTTATTTTTTTTTTAACGAATAAAGACGAATTTTTTAGAAAACAAAATAAAATATTGTCTCATCGGATAATTTTACTTGTTTATCTCTGCTCCGCACCTACAATGTTAGCCAATTCAGTGATTGGATCAGGGGTGGCAGTTTTGTATTTGTAGTCATTGAAGCAGGAGTAAAATGGTCTGTATCAAGGGGTTATTATTATACCCATTAGAGAGAGAATGGACATATTCCCTCCAAGTTGACCAGATCTATGTCCTCTTTATTGTGAAATTCAGAATATATTGCTCAATTTCCCAACATATACAGTGGCGACTGGTATCACTAAAACCCCGAGACTTTTCAAGTCTTGCTGTTTTTAGTGAGCAAACATGAACATGCGCTTCAACAAAACCAGCAACCAGTGTAAACCTGATAAGAAAACTTAAGCAATTATTACGATTACCAATAGGCAAAAATATGACGATGGAGGGGGACAAAGTAATGAAAAGAATCACCTTAGAGGATATCAGCAGCACACGGGCAAATGAAGACCGACTGTAAGATAAAACCAAATTAAAAAAAAAAAATAAATGGCGATCCACCTTTGCTCTTGACTCTTGAGGGAACGGCAAATTGATAACATGCTAACAAAATTCTTCAAGTTATCAAGAAACACGGAAGTGGATGGACCTGATTGATCGTGACTGAAAGAAAAAAGGTTTTTGGGATAGTAATTTCAACGGGGGGTGTTTATGGTATATCTCCAGATCCGGATTAGAACAACCTCACCTAGGCACCGAATCATGCTTTGAGTTGGAAAGTCCTAGATCGAGATTGGAGAGTCATTCTATTACCTGACTGAGCGCGCAGCCTGTCAGGGAAGTGGGCAGCAACATACGTGGGTTGCACATTACATGCACTGTACTCTCACACAAAACCATGATCCCTTTTCCCTCCCCACCACCACATGGAAGTAATGTCTTGTCACACCACATTTGCCGGTTGGTTAACCCACTGGAGCCACATACTGAGCGCACGGCCAACTGGAAGCCTGGTCAAAATGCCCGCAACTCACAGGTGCCACGTAGCTGTTTCCCACCCACTAAGGGAAAGGAAGAAGACTTCGTAATTGGGAGGGAGAATTTGGAATCAATGGTACAGACAACGCCACTCGTGTTGCATTGTTGCAGTTTTCATTATCCCTCTGGGGCGATGGGTCCATTCCGAATGGGAAACAGAATGAGGAAATAGTAAATGTTTGTTCTATCCTTTGAAGCAGGTCAAGTGCAAATCTTTCCATGGATCGATGATGTTCTGTTTGTCCGCTACTGCACGGATTTGCAGTGCATGAGTACCAGACATGTATCATGGGAGCAGGGCCGCTGGTGCTCGCAAAGTCGGAATGGGATATTTAGTCCGATAAGCTTCGCAGCAGAGGAAGAAAGTATGAGAAGCAGAAAACTTGGTAAATGACAGCTGAAGAGATCAGCCACATCTGAAAAAAGGATGATAAGAGAGAATGTGGTGGTATCTGGATTCTTGTGAATTTCTTTCAATAAGGAATAACACAATGAGTACTTGGACTGTCGGAAAGCTCTCATGACCACATATCGCGGTTGCGAACTGCTAATGAGAATCATTTCCGGAGTGTCGATCACGATTCACGAATGAATGATATTTTCTTTCTTGTTAAGAACAAGGAAGGGTCATATGCAATTTTGGCATATGTCAAGATTTCAACTTAATTTCAGGAGCCGCATTTTTCAGTTAGTCTCCAGGGCTTGAGGGACGGAATCCTGGTTTGTTTCCCCCTTGGGTCAAGAATCAACGATACACAAGGGTACAGCTGGTATAGCCTGGTTCCTGATATGTACAGAAATTTTTAGCCCACCAGGCCATGGTCAATATATAAAGAGGCGTAAATAAAGAACTATTCACACCTAACAACATTGCGCGCAAAAGTACCTGGGGAAGGGGTTTCGGATTGATATACTTATTGTGTTCTTTGCCCCAAAATCAAAAGTTCCCTCTTTCATCATAGTAAGTCAAGCTGTGTCTTCGCGGTTCCTTGGAAAAAAGAGCATGTACCAAGTTCAATCAATTTACATCTGTTCTCTTTCAACTGTACGTACTGTCTCCAGGTGCATCCCACAGTTCAAGTCTGGTGAACCCCGCAGGTCTTATCTTATACCCGCTGCTCACCAGAAGTATCCAGCATGAGCATTCCAGAAAATCCTCCCTCCAAATTATTTTTCGTAGATTGACGCCGGCTGAGGAGGGTGTGTAGCATGCAATAGGAGAGATTGCACAACAGCACGCGAGTCTCAGAAAGAGATAAAGCATTCCCATAACAGCACCGGATGGCATTCGTCCAGGGCGCCAAAAATGTGCAGCTAAAAAGAACATTAAAGCAGGTACGACGCACACCTCACAAAACAATTTGACTGTGGTGTTGATGTCTGAAACCCCGCAATGTCAACGTTGACGTTGAGGTTGATCTGAAGCAGAGCAGGATAGTTTGGTAGTTTAACATAGTTAACTAAGTTTAACAGTTTGACTGCAGACATCTGACTAAGCATTTCAATGGCATTCACGTGATCTGAAAGTAGTCGTGGGAAGCGTCAATCCGCTAAACCCGTTTTGGGTAAATGACAACACACCGTCGATCTATGGGTCGCTTCGGGGCAAAATAACCTTTTCGTCGCGGGGAACAGTAGAAAAACTTCGCTTCTTGATAATATGATTATACGCAATGCTGAGCGAGGGGAGCCCATGTGAGCTACACATAACTCTCTTCCTCAGTGTGGTGAGGTTGTCTCCATTATTTCTCCTCTCTAGCCCCTCCATAAACAAGCCAATGTGTTAGTACGGGTGCCTATCTCCATGTTAGAAACTGCGCTTCTGGAACGAAATAGGTTCACCCAATACACATGGGTACCTGAATAATACTATCTACGTGTCCAGCAAGAGGCATTTTTGTCATCCCGTTCTGAAGTTGAAAAAAAAAAAAAAAAAGAAAAGAAAAGAAAAGAAAAGAAAAAAGGGTACGCGGATATGTCCCGCAATAAACACCCTCTCCCGGCCTCTCTCCGCGATATCTTAACCAATTCCGCGGCGGCAACCCTTGAAACATTTGACCCCTGGAACTCAGCATCAACTGGCCATCAACGAGCGGAAAAATTCCATGTTGGTGGCCCTCGCTGGTGACAGGTGTTGTCTCAAAAACTTGGGAGACAGTTTGGGGATGACACAGGTCGTGGTGGTGGAGTTGGCGACGGTGAGTGGGGTTGGGTGTCTTCAGCGCAGTGTGGAGAGGCTAGAAGGAGAGAAGGAGGATCCGGAGATATCAGATCTTTAATGGGTGGTGTTAAAAAGAGGAGATTACACGGAGGGAGAGTGGACATGAAGCAAGTCATTGCGAAGGACAGCATCGATGGCGGCATTACCGAAGGAAACGGAGCGTTCGCTCTTGATGATTCGGGAACTGGAAGTGACAGGAATGACAGATGGCTAGAATGAAACGGGTTTTACGGCACACCGTATGTCAAGACAGATCCAAAGGGAAGAGAAGGAAATATCAAGAGCCCTACACAGCAACGCGATGCGAGTCGAAAACCATCATTCCTAGTTCTCCTCCAAAGCCCCCTCAAGGTAGCCTTCATCCTGATTCGCAACTAATGCCCTTAGCATCTACAACCAAAGGAATATTTACCAATTTGACGATATACGTCAATGGCTCTACTTACCCACTTATATTAGACCATAAGCTCGAACATCTTCTCGTTTCAAACGACGCAAACGTCACCCCTGCTTTCGCTCGACTCACAGTCACCCATGTAATTCTTGGCAGGCCGAACAAGAATAAAACTGGTAACTGGTAACGGTGCTGGTGGAGGGCTCGCGGTGACAAAGCTTCAGAGGGAGATCCAGCGGAAGGGTGGAAAAGGGGTGAAGTTCGTTGGGGTAGAATGGTTTGTACATGCCATGTTTTCCCCTGGCTTTCGTGTTGTCATTGATATTCATCTGTATTTAGTCTCCTCCCGGCCCCTTGTCTCTAACTAAAGCCGTCTCATCCATTTCTACCCCTTCCATGTCAAAACCATGGAAACTGACGACGGTTCTCGTTGTTGGGTTTTAGAAAGCATCAAAGTAGGATGTCGCCTTCCAGAAGCGAGATTCGCAACTTTGCACATGGCTCCAGATAAACAGAGAAGTGTGATGAGCATGTTCCAAAGGGCATCATAACTGGGGGTATAGAGGAGCGTTGTCTATTTCCACGCCTTTTTTAATTGCGCTAATTTTATGCCTCATGTCTAAACGTTTCAAGACACGCGACCGAAAGTAACTAGAGTAGTACTCTGGATCGACCTATCGTCTAAGATTTTTTCCTTTATATATAACCCGCGATACGTTTATATCCCGGCTTTCAGATGCATGCAGCTGAAAGGAACTGGGAGTCCCTTTTGATTTTGAACCGATGAAGTCAATTCTGTGCGTTCCGTTCAGCATTTGTATCAGATACTTAAGTGGTGTAAACATGAACACGTTCTGTACAAGAATGATATATATACATATATATATATATATATATATATAACCACCAATACCGCGAAGAAAAAGATAACTATCATCCAGTTCTGCCGAAATGATCAAAGAACATGCGAGTAATCCTCCCTTCTTCTATACATGCTCCCGCAAAAACACCCAACGATGCAGGAAAAGACAATGCGAAAAAAGATATATAAAAAAAAAAACCCAGTATAAGCACTGTAACAGCGGAAATAGTCCCATTCATAGAATAAAACACAACATATCTAGAAAGGAAGAGGCGGGAGAGTCAGCTCCACGGAAAAAACACAATCCTACAAAAACGATCCACCTCTCCCACCACCCCCCTTCCGCTTATCACCATCATCATAGCCCTGCTTCAACACCAGATCCCCTCCGTTCCTGCTGCATCCTCCTCTCGCGCCTTTCCCTCCTCTCTTTCTTCGTACTAAGGCCTGAAGCAAGAGATGTCGATGAGGACGCTGGCAGTGGAATCTGCGGAGGCGGTGGAAGTGAAGAGATTGAGGCGGCAGAATGGTGGGAGACAGCTGTTTCAGGCGTGCCTTGTAATATGTACGGGTGTTGATAGTGGGACTCTGTGGGGACAGCAGGAAGTGAGTGTCTTGGTGTTGGTGGGAGGGCGAAAGTTGAACGTCTGTTTGGATGAGAAGGTAGTTGTGGGGAGGAGCGGGAATGGGGTAGTGGTGGGGGTGAATATATTTCTTCGGTTGGGGTGGAGTTGGCTGTAGCGGATTCGCTGTACTTGGGTGGTTGGGGAGGCGAGGGAGTGAAGTTTTGATGTTTCGAAACTTCTGCAGCCTCTTCATCTTTGTTGTGTGAAGGAATATTTGTGTGGTGTAGTTTGTATTTCGTGCTCGATTCCGTAGAGGAATCGCTTGATATCGACTGAGAGCGGCTTGGGCCTTGATGGCTCGCTGTGACTATTCCGCTTATAACAGCTTCCTTGTCCATGGTTGGAGTTGTAGGCGACAGTGACGGTGACGGTGTATATTCCTGGGGTTTCTGCTGCTCCATTGATTGGGATTTATCTCCAATCACAAGACCAAGGGTTTCTTCTTCTGTGCCGTCCCTCATGTCACGTTTCTGCTCATGGTGAAGAGTCCGAGATGGAAGATGGCCAAGCCCAAAGAGCCGCTTTCCAGGTGAAGGATTTTCAGTCATTCCGGCACCACTAGACAGTGGTTCTTTAGAAGAACGACGGTTAAAAATGTTGTGGAATGAAAATTGGCGGTGCGGCGGTGGAGTTGGTGGAATAGAAGTGCTACGGGTGGGCGAGAACTGGTTGGAAGAATCAGCAGATTTGACACTATTTGCCCATTGAATGGTCTGTACAGTTCCGCTCCGGTTCCGGCGGTGTTGTCCATTGTTATGTTGGAAAGCTTCCCCTAGGGCCCCAGAAGACTCGATGCCAGCAGTATCAGCATTGAAAGCGCTCCTTTCATCTGCCTCACTCGGGATCGCCGTTAGCACCGGGGCCATTGGACCGTGAGGTTCCTGGGAAGAATGTATTGGTCTCCAATGCGGATGCAGCGCGCTGGACGTACGGCTTCGGGCGAAAAACGAACTCTTGTTGCTTCCCTTAGTGCTAGGCCTGTGCTGGGGAAGCTCATCGTCCACAAAATCGGGGAATTTTGACATTCCTAGAGGTGGATGACGGCCTGTTGATCGACGGGAGGGGGTTCTAAAGGGGCTCTCTCCAACAATCGTCCTGCGTCTCCTCAAGCCGTCCCATTCAATGATTTCCCCTTCCTGTGGTGGTTCCAATTCATCCAATTTCCTCTCCTCGTAATACCTCCTGGCCTCTTCTGCTTCCATCTTCTGCCTTGCAGCTGATATCCGTCGAATGATCGCAGCCGTACCGCGAATAGCGTCTGCTTTTGGTTCCGTCTCGGGCTCCTCTTGCTCCGCCACTTCTCGTACCTGATCTAAATCTCCCTTGAAAATAGCAGCATCTGGAACATCCTTGGCGGACTTTGAGAGCTGTAACAAAACAACGCCAGAACAAATCTGAAGAAAGCCCATGACAACAGTCGTAATGCTAATCGCAGTTCCCTTGAATCCCTGAAACAGAATTGCGGAGGTGATGATCGTGGCACTCGTAAAAAAGACATAGTACGTGGGGGTAACCAATGCCGCATTAAAAATGTTCAGCGCTTTCTGTGGACGATATCAGAAACTTGCAATTGAATCAGAGAAAAGGTAGAAGATGGTAGGGGGAAGGGGAGGTGGGGTTATCCACTCACATTTAAATAAATAATCTCTGTCAATAAAGTCGCAATAACAAAAACAAACAGAACATACAGAAACCACTCCTTAAATTGCGACACCCCTTGGATCTGAGATATTATCGCCGCCCCCAGGCCCTGGGTAGCGACAACACTCAGGCCACCAACGAGACTGCAGATACTGATATAGACAAACATGCTCTTGTTGCCGTATCGGGGTCCCCCCCACAGAGCAATGAACGCAGATCCCGCAATGATGAGACCAGCCCAAGTGAGGAAACCAGGGGCGATGACGAAACGTCTCATATCTTGGATGGTTGCGACGGACGACTGGGTGGGAGCGTTCATCGCGATGATCACGGAACCGATGATGCAGTTGAAACAGCCAACCTTGCCAACGAAACTGAGGCGTTCTTTGAGAAAGATGGCGGAGAGAATGGTGGTGACGACGACGGAAAGGGCGCCAAGGGGTGTCACTAGAATTGCGTCGACGAAGGCATATGCAACAAAGTTGAAGATTTCTCCAATGATCATCCTATTTGTTTTAAAGAAAGAAGAAGAGGAGGAGGTGGGGGGGGTGATGGACGATTAGTTTTCTGAAGAGTCTAGATAGGGCTTGCAGAAGTATAATGGGTGCACAGAGAGAACTCACAGCGTCATCCCAGCCCACCACCACCACATCTTCAGATACCCCATTCCCTCCCCAGGATCTTCATTATACTTGACATTTGCCTTGAGGAGACCGATCTTCTTCACAACAAAGGACACGCCAATGAAGAGTCCCGAGCCGATGGCCAGGGAAATACCCACGGCCTTGAAGACGGGTGGTCGACCCTCTGGGCCACCCAGCCCGCCACCACCAGACCGCGCATGGATTGACTGGATTTCAGCGAGGTCGAACATGGTAGGCGACTTGGGATTTGGGATGGTTTAGTCGTTCAACGGTCGGGAGGGCGGCGCCGTTGAGGTTGAGATGATTAGATATGTCTTGTCCCCAACTCTTTGTTTAAACTCCGGGGACGAGCCGTGGTTCGTTGGTTCGGGTAGAAAACAAGCTTAACTTAATTTTTCCCCCCCTACGGCAGCCTATCCAAACCTGGGTTGAATCGTGGCTAGTTGAGCCGATACGATATGGAGAGCGATTCAGACCATTGTAACAGGTGATGTATATCCTGCAGTGGGTGGTCGAAGTTGCGACTATATAGGAAGGCAAAAAGAGATGAGATTCCGTCAGAAACAGGGTCGCAAGTACGTAGGTTGCACCAGGATTCTGTCAGTCGGGCAGTAAGCAAGTCATCATCATTGGGAATTCGGTCAGAAAGTGATCAATCAACGGATGCCTGTCTGAAAAAAGTTGGAAACCAGTAACGAAGTAAGTAAGCGAACGTTGGAAGGGGGTACCTGCAGCATACTTGGATAAATGATGGGGTTGGAGGCGCGAATCTAAGTACCTCCGAGGTAGTGGCCGAAATTGGGAGGAAGAAAATGAAACCGATAACTGGAGAATATATATATATATATATATATGCTAGGAATGGAGAGAATCCAAACCAGAGGAACAGAACAGATAATAATAATAAAGGGAGAGGAAGGCGAAATACGAAATCCACGGCGCGATCCCCGGAATTATTGTTTATTATTTAGTTCAAAGGGTGGTGGTGCGAAGTATTTTTATTTTTATTTTTATTTTTATTTTTATTTTTATATTTACTAATTACTTGGCCGGATGAAAGCAAGTAAATATGGATCCATTGTGTGTCCTGTGTGGATGGGCGCTCAGCTAAACATATCATCGTGCCGGCGCAGTTAATGACAGCTGAGAACAGATTTTCAACGTCAAAACACTGTCAGAAGGGTTAAAATTTTTAGGTATTTGTCATGCTCACTTCTCGCAAAATATGATGTCTTAATCCACTGATTTCATACTGATGAGATTGTACATCTTCTTCAAGAATAACCAGCTAATCTCAAATCTAATGAAATAAAATATATACAATTTCGAAACTGTCAGAGCTCTCTGAGCAGCAAGAAGACAGAGCTCATATGTGAAATATTAGAATCGAAGAACGGTCCTACTGTAGAGTTGGATATTCATCTGTCTGTATGCAACGAAGCGCCGTCAACAAACCATTCGGATCCTGTCCGTAGGTGAAGAGTTGCTATGGGGATGGCTTGCTTAGTCATCAGCTTCTTATCCTGAAACTTTGCAAAGACTTTATATTCAGCCCTGTCTGTCTCTAAAAAAACAATCAGCATACGAAGAAATACAAATGAAAGAGCAAGTCAGATTGCTAGATAACAAAAATGTTTCCACTGTTCAGGAAGTAGTTAACTAATGTGACTTACCACTAAATGAGCCATATCACTAAATAAGCTACTCTTAGCAAAACTGCCTCAACTTGCTAAAATCTAATTAATTCCACAACAATGAAATATATATTAATTAGATTATTAAATAGTAATGAGAGTATTCTCTAGTTCCATACAAAATAGATGGTTTAATATAATAGATGTGTGCTTGACTGAAGAACATAGCCATGACAAGAGATCTGGCATAGAGTAAGAAGATTGATCAAAAAAGTATCAACTTTTGAATTAGTAGTAGAAGCAGCAGTAAGCTGCTCCAGGAAATTGAGATTGACCTCATTTCCTAGACTGGAAGGTCAGATAGAGCTTAAAGAATTAGAATCTGCTGTAGACATCTGCTTCTGCTGTTGCTTTGAAGCAGCTATAGTTGAACTAATCAATTTTCACTTTGCAGTATAAGTACAAGTCTGTTCTTGCTTCTCAGCTTCAAGCTGAGTCTTTTTAGCATCTCTAGCAAGTCACTAAGCTTCATGCTGCTCTGTCTTTCTAGTCTTCTCTTTCTCACAGACTTTGTGAGCTGCTGTCTGAGCTGCTTATCATTCAATTTATTTTTACTAAGTCTCTTTAATTTTATATGTTTTTCAGAGATCATATTGAAGTTGCTCTTGAACTTGTTGAGCAGCTTTCTTCTCTTTTTTGTGATCTGCTTTCTGAATTCTCTCACAAGCTTGTTGAATCTTAAATGATGAGAAGAATTAAGTCTGGTCAAACTGCTGCTTCAGATTTAATAGATTTAAGAACTTTTCACATTATCATTGCTTTTTTTCATTGCATAAAGCTTTAATTAAAGCTTTATTCTCATGCACAAGCACATGCACAAGCATCTTCTTTTCAAAGACAAGCTTCTCACTAGCATATATGATTTTTTTTCATATCTTTAGAGACCAAGCTCTGCTGAATTCAAATTCTCTTAATATTACATCAAAGAGCATAAGTAGTTGTAGATATAGCAATCTCAGTTGAAGCTGAATTGACTAAAGATATAGACTATTTTGTAAATCAGTGAAGAACATACTCAGAAGTAAAAGAATGAATATCAGTGACAGTAAATGTGAATTGAATATTCTTAGCTATTAAAGACTGATTTTATACAGAATTGAAGACTGATAAAAAGCTTTTTTTTGTCATTTAAATGAATTCAAATTCACTGTAAAAAAAATTATTGACATTACAAGAGTATGTTTCTGCTAGAGAACTAAAGATATTGACATTCAAAGATTGCAATCAATAAGTTGAATGTGAAGACAGTACTGCAAGAAGAATTCAATTTTAATCTATAAAATCAATAAATCTCATATTAACATGAGAAGAGTGCTCATCTAGAATAAGAAGACATCTTTTATAATCTGCTTTAATCTTGATATGCTCATCAAAAATCCACTTCAGTCAGTTAAACTCATAATCATCATTACTTCAATTTTTTTCAGAAACTGCAAAATAAGCTGTATTATTCTTATTCAAATTCTCTAGTCATGTATTCAACATATCACAAGACTCTTCTCAATAAATAAAAGTGAATAGAAAAGCTGTTCTGTCTGCATATATTGCTTTGAGTAGAGAGATGAATTCATAGCTGCCATCTTGAACTGCAGTAATTCACTTTGTCCTCAGAGCTTCAACTGGAATGATTCACTTAGTAGTCTGACTGATGTTAATTAAAAAGCTCTTTTCATCAAAATTGTAGATATTTGATAACTTAATATTGTATTTTTCAATCTTCTCATTCAACTATGTAGTCACATAGTAAAATAGTTAGCAAGAGTCTCTAGAGAACTTAGTGCAAGAAAACAAGCAAAAGATCAAAATACTAGCTGGAAATAATGCTTAAAATGAGTAGAATTATCTGCTATCTTGTGTTTTTGATCAATGCCATGGACATGAATTCTTTGAATTTGAGTCTTATAGCACTCAGTAAAGTGCCTCACTTAGTGAATTTCAACAGATTCTTTGTTGATTTCTGCAATGAGATTTCAAATAATTTGAGGTGTAGAAGCAAAGCTGTGAGCTGTAAGCTTTTCTATATAAAGCAGAAGCATTTGTTCTTGCTGATTTAAGAGCTTCTTATGTTGAGAGGCTGCTTCATCCTGCACAAGTTGCAAGCTGTTATAACACTGGTGCAGTGTTTCCTTATTAATTGAGTGCTTCCTAGCAGTTGCAGTGTAATTTTTGACCTTTTGAGCTCTTAAATCCTTAATTGTAAGTTGAATAGCTTCTTCATTTGGCATCTCAAAGCAGTGGAAGTTGAAGAATTAAATTGCAGCGCGTTGCAAAAACACAGCTCATTTAGTGGTACAGCTCATTTAGTGGTACAGCTCATTTAGTGGTACAGCTCATTTAGTGGTACAGCTCATTTAGTGGTAAGTCACGTTAACGTAGAACTCCGTCGATTATCAATCATTCAAATTTGAGTCATTTCCATTCCTGTTTTGCCCGTCGTTTTGCCTCTACGAACAGCATATCACATCATCGCCAGTCATGCCATGATTACTTCCCCAACATCATTCATCATTAGCATTAAAGGGGGAAAGAAAAGGATAAACGAAAAAGAAAAGAAAAGGGAAAAGGGAAAAGAGGAAAGGGAAGGAAAAGGAAGCAGGAAAGAAAAACTCAGATATAAACGGAGTATAATGTAGATAAAAAAGCCACCCGCCAACCCATATCCCGATCCCATATGCAAACACCACATAAAAGTCATCATCATGCACATATATACCCTCCAAGGAGAAAATCCCCGGATATAGGCAAATATACAACAAGGCAGGAAAAAGCAAAAGCCAAAAAGAGCCCCCCCCCCCCCCCCCCCTTATATACATCTACCTACCTACTCCGCCGACTGAAAACCGGCTTCCGGCCCTTATTCACCAACGGCGGCGGCCCATCACTCGGATACGGCAACTTCACCACCACCACTCCACTCCCATTTCGCAAATCCCCACCACTCCCATAATAACTGCTGCTCGGCCTATTCACCTCCCGCGGCGAGATGGGCATCATCAAGGGCCCATTGACACTTCCATTGCCCGTTTCATCGGGGTAAGGGATGGGTGTCTTTGGTGGTAGTGGTGGCGGGGGCTGAGGCTGGGTGGATAGGGGGCTTAGAGGGGGGGTGTGCGAGCGGTTGTATTGGTAGGGTTGAAGGGCTGGGCCGGGCTGGGTTTGGTTTATGAACATTTCTGAGCTGCGGCGGGGGGAGGGTTTTGTGTGGCTGCTATCTGGGCGGTTGGGCGGCGGCGGTTGGTTGTCGCGGTCTGCATTGAGGCGGCATTGCGGGGAGAAAGGTGGGGTTGGGGCGTGTGTCTGGGTGGGTGTGCTGGGGTTGGCGTTGGTGCTGTGGATAGCTGGTTTGCGGTTAAAGTTGAGCTGGTGTGGGTATTCGTCTGAGGTGGGGATTGTAAATTTATCCTGTGATGTTGTGCTGCTTAGCTGTCGGAAGCGCGGGAGCAGGTTGGGTGGTGGTAGTGGTTGTGGGTTATTATTAGTATTATTCACAGATGATACGGGGATAAAGTCTTCACCGGGAAGTTCGACGGCGTCGGGCAATTCGATGGTGGAAGGTTGGCGCGGGCGTGCTTGCAGCGATGGAGGGACGGGCGGCACAGGCCGATATTGCCGTTGAAACATCTCCCCGTCTTCCCGACCTTCTTCAAAACTGGACGAATCGGCTATAGGTCCTAGTCCTTCTTCACCTGACCCTCCCTGCCTTCGATGCATAAAATGAACCTTGGCCAACTTCACTGCTGCGTCCTGGTTCATCTTCTGCACGTCGCTTCGGGAGAGGTAGGTCCGCGTGCTGGTGCTGATTTCAGCCAGTCGATGCCACTCGTTCATGCCAAACTCACCAACACCAACTTCGACATTTAGACGAACATAATTCTCTCTGGGTACGTTGCGCTTCGCGAGATGCTCCTTGAGCATGTACTGGTGCGTCTTTTCGCAACCTTCTATTTTAGCGATCAACCGCCTGCGTGCTTCGGCAAAAGTGCCTAAGGAATCGGAGACATCCTCCCACCACTCGTGCGGGATATGGCTTGTTCCTGCAGGCTGTTTGCCGGTTCCGACGCTGACGAAAATACCCACTTCTCTGCCCGGCCACTCGTTGACGACGGCTTCGTCGAGGACTAGTGGCGAGGGATTATATTTGCCAGCACCTTCGTCCACGAAAACATGTTGGCCCACCTGGATAGGCTTGAATGCGAGACCGGTTGCACAGGTTGCCCGTCCTGCTTGCCAAATTGTGCAGTTGAATTCCGGCGCAGGCTCCTTTCGCGAATCGTATGATCGTAGCAAAGTCGCACTTCCATCCCATGGGGTTCCCTTATAGACTGCCGCAACCGCACTGATCACAAGTTAGATTTAGGTATACATATACACATGATATATATATATATATATATAAACCTAAATGATGATAGAACTTACGTCTTCGTTCGATTTTCCCGTCTATCATAAAGCATAGCATCTGAATTCCCCGAACGTGACCCATTCATCACCCCCATCGACGCGCGAGAACCCACCGGCGAAGAAATCGCCAACGCGCCACCTGTACCAACACTCGCTCGACTAATGCGCCTCTGTAAATTTTGTGAAGATTGCGGTCGCCCGTGCGAACCGTGCGAACTTACAATCCTAGGAGGCAGAGATGAACCATCCTTTCCTTCCGATTCCGACACGGTGTGTTCCCACACGCACTGGCGGATAGCCTCTTCGAGCTTCGACGCTTTGAACAGGGTTGACCGATAGGGGATGCCGGCGATAGTCTTATCGGTCTCGAATACCCGTCTCGTCATGCGAACGTAGACCTCCTTGCAGGTCTCGAGGTCCAGGCACAGACGACCCAGCATCAGCGCGATGAGGCCGCCCGTGCCTGTGCCGGCGATGAGGTCGAAGTGGTCGCACGGTTTTGGGATTTGGTCGCGGGAAGGTGCTTTGCCTTCGCACTCGACGTATGTGCGGTGCATGAGTTCTTGGAGGAGGATGAGCATGGAGTAGCCGCGGACTCCACCACCATCTATTTCCAAAAAAGAAAAAAGAAATCGATAGGGGTTAGTTATCTGGATGGATAAGGTTTGTATTTTAAAAGTACTGAAGGTGGAAATGGGCCAAACAAACGCACCTAACGACAGAACCCGGAGGGGTGGGCCTTTTGTGGTATCCTTGCGCCGGATATTGTTGAAAGAGTCCATGGTGGACAGGTAAGAGAGAGACAGAGGAAGGGAGCTGGGTTGGCACGCAAACCCTTCCCCCGCATCCACGTTTCGCGTAGAGTAAATGGAGAACCAAGTAGGCAGACAGGATATAATAGTTGAGGATATGATATATTATGGCTGTAACTTGAGATTTAACTGGTCCAGGTTCAGAACGACTGACAGGACGGCGGCAGAGAGGAGCAGACAGAGCGAGAGTAAATGTTCAAAACAACAGGCAGACAGTTTATTAGAGTTATTATTCACTTAGTTACTCTGATTGGAGGACGTAACAATCAAGAGCAGTGACAATTAAGGGCGATATTCCTATGGCCGCTAAATCAAGGTAGACGCGTCTGCCTTCGAGCAATTAGTGGTGGTGGGAGGACTCGAGGGTGAAGTTGAAGATGACGTTGAAGTCGAGTCGACGCTGAGGAGAGGAGTTAGTTAGGCGGCTAATCCCCACAGCCAGCCAACGATGTATTGAATTGGCGCCTAACTACGGGATAATCAGCAACGGCTGAAGTCCTGGCTCTGACTTGCATAGCAATCGTTTGTCTGGGAGCAATGTGCACACAAGAGCAGGAACCTCTACATAATTGTTCTGTTGACGCAGAGATATTCCCACGGAAGTGAAGTCGAACCATAACTACAAGTTGTTTTTCTTATCATCCATCGCACATTCAATTGAACAACAACCCCTGATCTTATGCACCAAGACTGCGGGAGGAAACATCATCGACATTTAGATCATTTAAGATATTTCCGTTCTCGAGTGCAATTTTGGAATTTTCTGGCGTCTGGGTATCACGTCACATCGCAACGGTGCCCCGGGCATACATGGGCATCAATGACGACGATATCTGGGGTGTGACAGTCCTTCCTCTCCTTCTCCCTCCCTTGGGGCAGCTGAGATGACGCAGATCCTGGCACAAACTGTGGCGGTGCAGCAGTTGCAGTGCTAGTAGATTCATGGATACCCTGACTGCTACACCTTCAAGAGGTCAACCTGCCAGTCAGTCATCCATGGATGATCATTGGTTGTTCTTCCAGCTAATACTCCACCAAACTTCGAACCATTCCCAAGTTGCGCTTCCAGAATATTTTTCCGGCAGGCTGGCAGTCAGATGATACAGATGATAACTAGCGCTGACCCTCCCGACATACCCAGGTGGCTGTCGGCTGTCGGATGTCGGCTGTCGTGGACGATCTTTGCACCCTGGAAGAAGCCACCCGTGTGATACAACTAAACAATGCCAGCCAGGCTCGAGACACACCCCTTCCAGGGCCGACTTCTCGAACCCTTCTTCCAGTGATATGCAGTAGCTTATCGGGAAGGGCTTGCATGACCGACCCGAGGGATTTCCCTGTGTGCAAGTCCCCGGAGAGGCTTCCGTTGGTTCCTCTCTTCTTACTTCAGCCACGAGCATAGAAAATAAAAGGAAAAATTATAGCGCGAAAAGAGCACCGAATCTCACACCTCAAGCGAAACTGTAAGAGTTTGAAGTTTGAAAGCCTCCGCCGGGGGTCGAACCCGGAACCTTGCGGTTAAAAGCCGCACGCTCTAGCCATTGAGCTACGAAGGCTTCTTTGGATAAGAGTTCGATTTTGGGCATTTACTCATGTATACACTGCGATTCAATGAGGCTAACCACGTACTGAAAATGTAAACGGTTCATGACGAGGTTTGTTAACCATCAAAAGAAGAATGAAAATAATAATAATAAGGATGTGATAGGGATTGAATATATATTTTAATGATTGTTTTTTCGATGATAAACTTTAATAAGTTCAGCTACCGGATAAAGGTGCACCTCAGGAAGTCTCGCGGAACTTCTAAAGAAGGAACCGCAGATTCAACCCGGGTGATTGAGCCTGCTTATATGAAGTGGCTCATTTCATATGATAGGCACAGCTCACGGAATATTATTTGGGATTGAAAATGTGGAAGAAAGGCACATGCCAGGGCCTATCATTTCTTCCATCAGTCGATCACATTCAAAGGTTATAACTATATGTATACTTAACTCTCTAGTAATAGATACGGGACGTGAACAGTACAGTACGGCTTCAGTCCTCTATACAAAAGTCCTCCATACAAAAATACCCTCCGAATCATCATGAATATTCCCCAGTTGTGATAACACATCTATCACCCTTCATATACCATATGGTCATTCTGGATAAGCCCGTCCATGAGTGAAGGTCCATTTAAGATTGTCAGACCATGCTCAGACGTTTAACTTTTCATGAGATACATAGTGCTAGCAGTAAGTCTGCAGGATGGTCTCAAACGTGAACTTCAAAAATTTGATCCTTTGTCCAACATTTTCACCCTCTGACAGTTTAAACTCTGCCTCCAATTCATATACGGTGGTTGCCAAGGGGGCCGCCTTATCCTGACGTATTTCACTGGAAAGTCTGTTATGCAATTCAAGAGCGCGACCTTGAGGGGAGAGGGGTTGTAGTTTTTCAATATAAAAGGACATCGTAAGCGCACTGTAAAATGGCTGGTTATCACGTCACAGAGCGGGTGAATCCCGATATCTGGCATCCATAGCTCCAGGTGTCCACTCGCAGCAGTCGGGTCGAATCGTGGAGTTCAACTTGAAGGAAAGAAGACGGTAGGCGAGCTGTTTATATTATTATTATTATTATTATTATTATTATTATTATTATTATTATTATTATTATTATTATTATTATTATTATTATCATCATCTCCAATCCACTCAAATAAATGGCCCAAGCCGATTTGTGAAGGGGCGGGAGCATCTGTGGTCGAGTTTTAATATATTTTTGGCTGCTCTAGTAGAAAGTTTTCCCGCGTCCTCTGATTCAAGCTGACTGTTGCAACGTCCTCGAGGCTTCCTGTTGGCCGTATATCCCTGCTAGTTGTAAGGGATATTTGACTATATCCCCGTTCCCCTTCTGAAGAAAGGAATGGCCGTACAAGCCACATTCTCTTTTTCGATCTTATAACCTCAGGGATAGTTACACGCGGACAACAATCGTTTTCGCAACAATCCATATCTATAATTGTTCGAGAAACGCAAATGCAGGCATCCCTGGGCTGTTATTATTAGAACCCAAATTTTGGAGACGGTTGATGCGTGATTTGTTGAAACGATGGTTTGGTGATTGGACGCTTCGATAATACGGGCGAGTCTCTACAAGACAATTGTCCTATGAGCTTCACTGAGGGGCAGCCTATAAAAGCGTTCTTAGGACTCATCGTAATGTTGAGGTCCCTGAGGCAGCCAAAAAGAAGGGTGAGATCGACATAGACCTAGACGAAACCACAAAACTTTCAAAGCTTATTGTCCATTAACCCTTCGGGGGGCACTGGTAGCAGAGTTCTATGAGGTGCAGGTGGCTTGCTCGACTCAGAATCCTGGGGAATCCATCTTGAATTACTATCACGATTGAGTAAAATCT